AATGGTTGAAAAACAGGTATAGAAAAGTTCAAAACCAGCCATTTTATAATGTGTTTGTTGAATTATTACCTAGGAGCTTGCTACCTGTTTGGAATAATTTAGATATGTATAATTTCTCTCTCAGGCTAGAAAGCCTTGGCCAGTTTTGACTGACTAGTATGTATGCTATTTGTCTGAAATTCACAAAAAAAAAAAAACCGTGTAAAAAACCTTTTCTAATCATTCTAAAAAGTTTTTTTTTTTTTTATGTGGTTGTATGTGACTGGAGAGACATGAATACTCAAAAACCATGGATAGAGTTGGAAAAAGCTAAGGTTATAAACAAGAGCTCTCCGAAGATATTTAATTGACTTCTACATTATATGAAACGGTCCAGCATGCCTAGAGATTAACTCAGCCTAGAAATACTGCACATTTCAACGTGAAATTTTTCATCAATTTACTTATAGTATAAGAATCAAATTTCTCTCCAACGGCTTGTCCCATTTAACTCAAGTTCAACCACATAATATAGATTTCCTTAGTATTTTTTTTTTTTACCGACAGATTTCCTTAGTATAAGACAGATTTTGAAAGTTGTTTTTTTGTTCTTAATATATGAAAGAACTCTTAAAGAAAGGAGGGAAACTTGAAAAGGTGACGTACCAAAAACTTACACTATATATACTCGGAAAGTAGATGATCATAATATTGACAAATGAATATCCTAATAATGATTAATAAACATAAAATATTCTTTGAATCTTAACTGAATAAATCTCAGTAGATATACCAACAATATGTACAAATTTCAACTGAATAAATCTCAATAAATAATGCATCTTACCAATGTATAAGGCAAAGTTAGAACGTTAATAGCAGTGGATGACGCAATTCTTGTTTATGCCTCAGAAAGACGCCGCAATTCTGTGAATTGATACAACAGTGCAGTAAATAGCAGTGGGAAAATGACAACTGGGGATTTCAAAAGAACATTAATAATTATTGTAATAAACTATTTATTCAGTCACAAAACATAATCTTTACTTATAATAAATTATTTTTTTATTAATTAGCTTAAGATTTACAACAGAATTTTATAATTTCCCGAATAATGCAACAAAGATTTTCAAGTATCTTTTGTTGATTTCCCTAGCGAAAGCAAAAACTCACGAGTGATTGACTTCAATTGACGTTACAAATAATCCCAAGTGTATTTCATAAATTTTTCGAGTAATACACACACACACACACACTAATAGCCAAACAATCACAAGTGATTGGCCTACTATTCACAATTAGAGTGGGAATAAAGGTTGGGCATGGTAAGTTGCCCGTTTAAATATGTTTTTGTTGAACCATATGTTTTAATAATAACAAAATAAAAAAAAAGAGTTTGTTACTTGTGCAAATCACATAAATCAGCTTAGTAACAAAACCTCTAAGAGCATGAAAATCAAGAGAAAATTTAGTATCATAGGTTTACTTATTTATTCTTCTCTTAAATTCAATTGTAAAAACTAGTGAAGGCTATCACATATTTTTTTAAAAAAAAAGGCAAAAATGCATCACATTAGAACCAACTTTAGACTTATAAGTCCTTTGATCTTAAGTGTTAAACTTTTAATGCACCTATGATTATTTGTCCATTTCATGCTTGATATGGTAGGTGCCATGCATGAATTGGCTACCCTTGATGCATAATAGGACTTAATAGATCCAATTTAAGCTTGGGCTACAATGAATCTCACTTGAATTAGACCGTAGAAGTTAAACACTGCATCATAAGTCATTTCATGCCTAAGCCAAAGAGTGGTACACACATATTTTGGCACGCAATGTGAGGAAGTGTCTTGGAGATGTTTTTATGTTCTAATTCACACTTGAGTAAACTTTGTGACCACTCTTGAGTTGTCCATAATATCATCTTGAAGTTTACCTTAGTGACATTTCATGCCTAAATCTGAATGATTCATGCTTGAAATGGAGTTTTCCTTAGAAGTGTTCAAGTCTAATTTAGAAAGCCTTAGAACTAGATAAGCCAAATCAAGCTAGTTTCAAAGAGTGATCAAGCATATTTCTTCATACAAAAAAGCTAGGTGCTTCTGTATTCCATTTCGCACTTGAACACTAAGTGGATCCACGTGTGTTTGACAAACAGAAAAGTTAGGTGCTTCTGTCTTCCAAAACATGCTTAAAGTCATTATAGCCTCATGCTTGAGTTGACTAAGAGTGAACCAAAGCCTTAAACTTCATGCCATTCCATGCATGATATGCTCCAATTTATGCTTGAATTGGCCCCTAACAAAGCATTAAATGCATTGTAGGACAAGTGGCTTTTTTGATATTCTTCACTTCTACATGCAACAACTATAGTCCTTTCCTTAAGTGTTTCTAACTATCTAAACCACTTCAAATTATATATAAGACCTCATTTACGTGAGTAGGTAACATATTCATTGATCATTAAGTGTCTTGCATTTAATTCTTACTAACATTCAGTCAACTTTGTGAAAAAAACTCTCAAAAGTTTATAAGTTTTTATTGTTATCATATATACCCTTTTTCAAAGAGTTATTTTGTGAAAGACTTTTTCTTTATTTAATTTGAAATTTTGCAAATTTTAGAAAGATATTTTCTAAATGTTATTGTAACAACTTACTACTGTAGTAAGTGTTGTTATGAAATCAAGATTAATACAGTCTTGTAATTGTACTGTGGTGGTAAGCACCTACTGAAACTTGTATTTATAGAATTATAGTTAAAAATCACAAGTATAATCTTGAAAACTGGATGTAAGCGAAGTGATTGGGTTAAATTAGGATAGATATTGTGTGTCTTGCTTATCTTATCTCAATTCTCCTTGGTTTCAAGTGTTTCTTACATTAAGCTTGCATCTTGTGTTCATCATCTTCTAAGTTGGGAAATTATCTGTGCAAAAAATTTTGAATACTCAATTCACCCCTTGTCTTGAGTACCAGTTTTATCCAACAATTTTTATAAAAATTTAGGCTTAAAAAATTATAATTTTTAAGAAAATTGAGCTTTGACATATGGCCCTAAAAAACAAACTTGGGCTCAAGCAACACTTTTTTTATTGGGAAAATGACAAGTAAAGGCTTCCTAAGAACATTAATCCTAATTAAGGATCGTAAAATTTTGAAATCTCAATTAAGGACCATTGGGATAAAAAAAATTTAGTTTGTCTTAAATGTCTCTTGAGATTCACTAATGTGATGTGAGATTCACCAACGCTACTTAGGGATTCACTAACCCAACTTAAAAAAATTGCTAACGTTTATTGTAAAAATATAAAACCCCACTTGAACATTGATTATTTAAGAAAAAGTGACATCCAAATTGGGATCCACTAATGTATCTTAAGAATTCACTGACCGAAATTAGAAAAATTACTAACATATATTGTGAAAAAAATGAAACCTCAATTGAGAATCAATTATTTAACAAAAAGTGATTTGTTGTGAAAACAACATAATGGGAATTTCAACATAATTGGGTTTTTTTTTTTATCAAGGGCATTTAAGACAAACTATATTTTTTTATCCCAATAGTCCTTAATTGAGATTTTAAAATTTTATGGACCTTAATTGAGATTAATATCTTTAGGGGTCCTTATTGTCATTTTTCCTTTTTTATTTTACTCCTAAAAAAATATTTTTAATTTTTAAATTGAATTTAAATTTTAGAATATATGTTCATACTTTAAAATTAAAATTTCTATTATTTATTTTTAATTTTGAACATTATAATTTGTACCTTAAAAAATATGAAATATTATAACTAAAAATTTTAATTTTTGAAAAATGAAAAAACTAATAAAGAATAAAAAGCAAGCTTATGAGCCTAGTCCTAGGCTCTTTGAACGAGAGTTAGGTTTCAGAAAATGATAGCTCATTTCCGGATTATATTTATAATTATTTTTTATAAATTTTCAACTAATATTAAAAATTTTAAATAGTGGCAGAAGTGCAGAGCTAGAAAGAGCCCAAGTGCAGGATGATTTGATAAAAAATTAATATTTTTTAAAAGATAATAATTTAATAATTAAAAATAATAATTACACTAGAGGACTATAATTATAATAACGTAAATAGAGTCATTGTCATTTTCCTTTTTAAAAATTATTTGGACAAGGTTAATATAATCTTTAAACTATTTTATATCTATTTATTAAATTTTTTTTTGTTCGTAGCCAACACGAAAACATGACTTAGTTTTTCTTATCAATTCTAATGTATTTTCTTGAGAGTTGTGGCATTTCTTTATCACTGGAAGAAGGGCAAAAATGTCATTGCACTGCATTTCGAATCCCGCGAGGGAAAGACGTGACGAGGTACTGCTTTCGTTCTCATTTCCCAAAACGTCAATGGACTCATACATAAAAACGACGGCACAATGATGCCCCGTGTTGAAAATTTTGTTCCACTTTAATCTTTTTGCCCACGTGTCACATGATATGGTGGTTAACATTATTTAAACTATAATACCATTTGATTTATGTGTCTCTTGAATTAGCCAACCGTGCAACGCACAGGTTGTGGCTAATTAAGAATATAAAACAACATTAATAACAATTATAAACTTTAAATTATTACAATTTTTAATAACAAACTATGATTTTTATTTACAATTAAAAAAATATAAATCAATAGTTAAAAAATCAACAAAAATATATTTAATTTATTTATAATGTTAGTTAAAATTTTCTTATCAATTTAAAAATATGTGCATGCCACTACTCACAAGAAAATGCATTAGAGTTGATAAGAAAATATAGTCATGTTTTCACGTTGGCCAAAAAAAAAAAAAAAACAAACAAACAAACAGCAAAAATTTCACATTCAGCAGTCTAAATTTAATAAAAACCAGTTTCACAATAATAAGAAAATGTAATTTTTATATATAAATATTAGTTTTTAAATCATATTAGAAAGCTCTTGTCACCAGAATTTTGAAACGTTCAAAGAAGCATCCCGAGATGATGGAACCATGATCCAAAATTCACGTCAAAACGTGCCAAAGCAAGGCTTTTTTCCCTTAAGTGCTCATTTATACATACAATAAATTAGTTAATACACCATAATAAATACACTACTACAGGTACCACTTCCTATATATTACTCATACTATTAAGAGAGATTTAAACATCTCTTCAATAAAAACAATAAATACCAATAAACATATGCGACTCAAAAATCTTGCACAGCACCAAACACAAATGAACACCATAATCTTCTCACTACAGTAACGCATGATGCCTTCAAGGGGCTTTATCTTCTGTCATAAGCTTTGCGTACACACGATGCCTCCTCTCTCTCGCATAGATGACCCAGAAGATCAGAGACAGCATCACTGCGACAGATACTGAGAGTAATCCAAGGTAGATCCACTGGGAGTGCCTTCTGAGACCCGGGCAATACTGGCCGCTGATGTCTGAGAATGTTTTCCTGACAAAGGTGCAGTCTTGGAGATCTACCAGGAATGGTCCGTAATGATACAGACCGTAGCTCACGTTCACTGCAGCTGCCATTTGACCGTATATGGTCGGAGTCATCCGGCCCGGTGTGATGCAGATGCCAGCAGATGAAACCTGACAGGTATAATTCTTCCATACCTGCTTGATGCAGAATTTGAATGTGAGGTAACTCGTGTTCATGTTGGAGAAAAATTAGGGGAAAAAACAAAAGGCCTAGCTTCTTTCCCAATGCATGAATGCAAAAATGCAGAGAATCCAACTTGAAATGCCTGGCCTAAATCTCTTAGACATCTGGCCTAACACGTTACAACTTCCAGATGATGAAACCTGAAACATAAAATTCTACCACATCTGATTGATGCAGATTTTTTGGGTGATTAAGGAATATAAAACTAAAAGGGCGCAACGCCCAAAATATAATTTAGGAAGAGGCGTACTGTTCTTGACTTGTAAATAGTACAGCTCCCAATAAATTTCATATTTATAGTCATCCATATGGAAAAGCTTTACTGAAGTATATGATTATGCACTTGAGAGTTATGAAAGAAGTGTATATTATGTGAATTTTGTCCTCCTACTATTCCCTACATATTAATCTACATTTGAAAATCTTAAAAATGGTCTTTACCTCAGTGGCATTGTCCAAGACCACTTCCCCAGCAGCACACTGCCTATCTGTGAGATCAGGATTGAATGGATTGCAGAGCGCTGGCATATGGGGGCCTGATTGATTGTAGTACAGAGGTCCCGCATTGGGTGGGAAGTTTCGGTTTGTGACATTAGCAATGACGTTGCCAATTATCTTCCCAATTTGGAAAGTCCCATCCTTGGTTTGAGTCAAGGTTTCTTGTGCAGTTGCATTATCCACACAAGGAAGAATATCATCCAAGGCTGTATGAGCGGTTGGGTTCTGCACCCACTGATCCATGGCAACACAAGTATCTGCAACCGCACTGAGCAAATACGCCAATACAGTAAGTTATCATATATATCTTATGCAGCATATGTGATGTACCAATACAGTTCATCAAATGATATTGAAAAGCACTCAAAATGAATCTCTTCTGTAGTACTTCACAGGTTAGAAGATCTAAGCAGATACTAGTGAAGCATTAAACCATAACTATCAATCAATTGGCCAAAAAATAACAATTATTGATGTTTTTGTTTTATCCATTCATATAGCAGACAAGTTTTTTATAATAGAACATCTTGAATTAAATACAAGTCTATTTGTGTAAAAAGTTTTGGTCATCCCATATCCAATGTGGTGACACATTATTAGAACAATTTCCATATTTTAAAAAGTATTGCTGAGAACTAAAACTATGTGCCAGATATTTCCAACTACAGATAAATCTCACTGAGTACAAATATCAAATTTCATCGAATATAGAAACACTAACAGCATAACTAGACTAAACACAAGCCAAATGCTCAAGGCAGATACAATTCCCTGTAGCAGATCAGAGATAACTATCTTGATTGTTTGTTTGAATAGTTTCCTTTCAGAAAATAGTGTATAAATCTAGGTTTGTTCCCTCTTAATGGAGGTATTCACTAAAATTGAAAGTTAAAAAGACCGATCAGTATAGGGACAAGAATGGAATCTGCTCTCAGCAATGCACAGAAGAACATTTATTCCAGGTCTGGGAACTAAAACTCCCAGATCCTACTGAGAACTGGTCATTTTAAGTAATAAGCCTGTACCTCCAAACCATAACTTCTGAATAATCTGTGTACAAGTTAAAGAAGTTTAAATGATAATGATTATTGAACAACAGTTCAAACACCATATCCGATTATAGACTCCCAAATGTCTTTTTCTTTAATCCAGAAGTTTTGAGAATGTTCAACATAAAGGTCATTGATTTCCAACTATAATCTCCATAATCATAACTGCAACACAATGTCTTGTGGCATTAAATTTCCCTCAGATAATCTGCCATATCGCAAAGCTCAATGCTGACCCCTATATCAAGAGTATCAAATAATTCTTTTGTACGGTCCACAAAATTCCACGAATCATGCAACAGCACCACATTTCAAACTACAAAAACAATGAACTAAGACCCCAGAATGTCTATCCAAGATGAAAAACATAGTAGCTCATAAAAACTTTGACAAAGGAGTACCTTCACAATGACAATATGATAAGAAAAATGAGAACTTACTTATGAAGAAAGAGAAACACACCACACACAATAAATGTTCCGGCAACAAGAATCCATCCAACAATCACCAAACTGCAGCCATAAAAGACACATCATTCACCAACTGGACAACTATAATCAGTCACAGAGCTATGTACAGTAAAGGGATAGGACAAGCCAGAAGGGGAGGAACATGACTTACAAGTATACTAGACACTGCAACCCAAAGATGGAAAATACTGCAAAAAGGTTTCAAGTAGAAAATGGGATGAGATTTTATGAAAAATTTTATGACAGAACATTAAAAATAAGAAAACAGAAGAAACTTACTGAACCCAAGAAATGCAAGAAAGAGCATAACAGCTGCAATAATAATAAGAGCTAATCTCCTACAGAGAACAAAACAGATGAATGTTAGCCAAAGCTATTCTGAGTAACAGTTAGAAGCAATATCAAAATTGTGCTTACATTGCATCTAAACCGTCTTGTATTTTTTCAGAGTTTTCTTGGGTCTTATTGGAAAGAGTGGCAGCAGCAGATTTGATTTTTGTTTGAACATCATCAATGTTCTTCTGAACATCCGATGGCATAAAGACAGCATCAACTCCAATCTTCTTAGCAGCATCAAGATAATCTGACACATTCCTGAGGTTTTGAGCAGTGAAGTCAGCCTGATCGACAACATAATCCAGTGTGTCTGAGGTACTGCCATGAAATTTCCCCTGACCAGTGTACAGGACAACACATCCAGCACTAGCATATTTAAACAGATATATTCAGTAAGTCACAAAATGTCATTTCAAGAAAGCATGGCACAATACAAGATTTGATTTGAGCAGAAAAAGAGAGAAAAGGAAGATGAGAGAAAAGAGAGATACATTGCTGCCAGGGTGAAGAGAATAAGGAAGATCAAGGACAAAGCATAAGCTGTTCGAGAATAGCCAAAAGGTTCTCTTGGACAACAGCAACGACACAGACAGATAAGGAATAAACTGAGCCCAAAAAGCACGAACCAAACTGCAGCAACGACAAAGAAGGGAACCGCAGTAAAAACAACTGACTGCACCAAAATAGGAACAAATAGAAGTCAGTGAAGCACCAAATAAGAAAAAGATAAACAAATCAATGAGAAAAATTAGAACCAGACGACCAGAAGGTGCTCTGGAACTCTAGCACCCGAAATTATCATTAAAGAGTTAGCAAAATATGATTTAACGGTTTGAAAATATGGCCAAACAGAATCATTAAGATTAATCCCAGGCCGGGGTGTAACTTATCAATTTTCCAGGAAAAATCTACCTCCAGTTTTCTGACATAAACTAGATTGAGATAACGAATATCAAGCCTTCACTGACGGTAGAAACAGATAGCGTGTTGAGGGGAAAATCCAGAAGCAGGATAAGATAGTGACGAAGAAATGAACGACAACTCACAGCAATATAATGCTGGTTGCTGATATTCCAACCACCAGCGTAGCGGTTAAAGTGGTCCAGAGGATCTTTCCGGCGAGTTCTGTCCTGAGCCAACACGAGAGAACTATTGGCCGTTGTTTCGTTGGCCAGTAATCTCCTCGTCTTCCACGGCAGCACATCAAAATACTGACTTCTAACATCAATTTCCACACCATCTTCTAGAAAAATCCAAAAAACCCCAATACCCATGAAAAAAAAATCCAACCTAGAATAAAAAAAACCATAGGAATGAATGAAAGCAAGATAAAATTACCTGGAAAAAGCCCAGAGCGGCGGGAAGGGGCGGTTCCAGAGGTGAAAACAACAAAGAGGAAGAGGGAGAGAATGAGAAGAAATAAAGAAGGGTTTGGTCTAAAGCGCAACATAATGTTGGTGGCGCTTGCGTTTCTTCTCCTCCTTCTTCTTCTCCTCCTCCTCCTGTTGTTGGCCCAGAGCCTCAGATTTTTGAGAGAGAGACAGACGAAAAGGACGAGAGAGAGAGGAAGCGAGGGTGAAAATGAAAAGATAGCTATTTTAATAACAGACGCTGCGATCTTCGGCATACGTTCTACAAAAAAGAGTGCGGGTAGGGCCTTCTATTATACCTGGCCTTTGTATCCTTTCTTGTGTGACCAAAATACCCCTACCTTTTCTGTATTACCAAAATACCCCTATCCTTTGCTCTTGCAGTGGGCTCTAGGCCCTTTGCAAATACCGCCGGCACCGTCTATCGGAATGACGATTTTGCCTTCCTTAAAAGCCATGTTAAGCGACTTTTTCCATAAAGATTTTTTTTTTCCCATTTCTTTAAATAGGGAAATGCACGATGGGCAATTAAAAATTTAAAGATATGGTCGACAAAAATAAATAAATAAAGTATAGTACGTGCAAATTGAATGTCTGACAACTGTAAGTGTAAAATCAACGAAAAAGGGAAGGGAAATTGTGAGATATAGAAGAATTAGACCGTTTGATTTTTTTAAAAAAAACTATTATCTGTTTTTAAAATTAAAAAATCAAAAAAAATTTGAATAAGTGTTTTGAATTTAAATATTTTTTAAAGTGTTCTATTTTTTTATTTTAAAAAAGATATTAAAGATTTTTCTTTTTATTTTTAAAATATATTACATTTGACTGTGATAAATTATCGTTAGTTATTGTCAATCATTATCATATGTCACACTATTAATCACTGATGATTATCACTGTTAGTCATTTTTTTAGTTTCAAAATTTTTTAAATTAACATAATCAAACATATTTTTATTTTATTTTGATTTGAAAATTAATTTTTAAAAATTAATTTACAAAATAATTTAAAAAACGATAAAAGATCAAATTGACCTCATAAACTAAATCTAGGAGCATCTAATATCTTAAACTCATTTTTTGTGCATTGCTCCCTTCAACTTAAAAAACAGTACAATCTGACTTTGCCATTAATAAAAATTAAATTTGACTGTTAGTTAATCAAAAAATAATAAAAAATGATTTCAAAAATTATAAAAAAGGACTAATAAAAAAATAAAAACAAGTCCTTAAACACATTTTCATTTCTTTTGTGATTTTTTTCCACTTTATAAGGACTTCAAAAAAATTCGCACTTTATATTATTCTACTTAGTATGAAGTTTACGCTTTGAATAACTGTGTGATATTGAAAGACAAGGATTGAACACAGAGAGATAAGTTGAGAATCATATGTTATTCAGAATATTTACTGTTAGATGATGGTTATGACAACCCCTTAATTTTTGTCATGGTGCAGAGCAGCTATTCTATGTGTCTCAACTCATATTAGAAAGGTTGTTAACTTGAAAAAAAAAAATACTAAAGAATAAAAAAAAGTCGTTACTTTTGTATGCCATTGTATCGAGAATTAGGGTGTGTGAATTTATATTTGATTAAACAAAAAAAGAAAAATGCTCCTAAACCTTTTTATATTATTACCCTTGAATCTTGATCTGGAAGGCATTTCAGGATTGTGTTTTTTTTTTTTTTACACATATGTATCTTTTTATTAAAGTTGGTGTAATTAAGCACTAAATGTAGGTACATTTTCCAGTGAAATTCAAAGTTTAATTCATGCTATTTTTTTAGAGCGTATCTTTCTTGTCACAGCTGTTGTAGACTCATAGTGCTCTATCTAACATGCTGCATCCTCTCTGTAAACAAGAGATTGATTAAAATTTAAAGCAACCTGAATACACGACATGATATAAGCACCTAATTCAATTTAGAATAAATAGTAAGAGCTCTTATTATTTACATAAGTAGGTGGGGTGTTTGAATATCAATCCTTATGCATGTTTTAACTTAGTCAGGAGAGTTATAAATTTTGTCATAACGCTCGTCATGAGAGATAATCTCTACGTCGGATGGGCTACTCCTAATACTTCAACAATAACAACAACAACAACAAAAGGGCAAGATGTGAGCAAACCAGATGACCCTCAAACATAATTACATCCATATTTTTTCAAAATAAAAATCAAAATACCCAGATAAAAAAAATCAACATACACATAACACTAATTAATTAGAAAATATCGTATGTGTAGCTATAATTACACCAACACCCAAAAAAAAAAAGCCATAAAAAAGAGTCTTTACATGTTGTAGAAGCATCAAAAATGAAAAATATAAACATTTATGATTAACAATGGCATCTCTGTTATAACTTGGGGGTAAACGAGATGGTTTCTCACAAACATTCTAATGATGCTTCCGTTGTGCTTCCCTTTAAAAACGAACAAATTCATGGACATCAAAGGCCCTACTTTAATGATCAATACATAAAAAAGCCTTTGTATAGCATTTGACAATTATGTGGTCAATTAATCATCCCTAAGGCTTTATTGGACCAAATTAAATTTGGCATTTGTGGGTGATTAAGAGATTATGAATGATAAAGGTTAGTTCAGTTAGTAAGAATTTAACTAATAATACACAAAACTAGTTATGAGATCAAATCTCGTTGCCTAAATGATGACCTTATTAATGAATAATTTATAAATACTTATATAAATATTTTTGAGCCTGAAGACATGATTGACCCTTACAAAATTTGATCACTTGCTAGGAGGGGCATCAAATTAACGGCTTAAAGGTCTTAGGCACCCAATGAAGCATCAGTTGTTTTTCTTTACAGTTTCATTTCAAGTGTGGGCTTTGTTAAGGAAAAAGCATGAGAGATGGCTTTAGGGTGGGAGAGCAATCTTCTTTCTCCTCTCTTCATGCCTTTCAATTTAATTGGTTAATTTTTTTTGGGTAAAAATTTGGTTAACAACTAAGGATAGGACTGTATTTTTGAAAGTGTTTTGGTTACAATTGTTAGAAACTCTCTCTTTTCCCTAAGTATTAAGCTTGGAATACTTATTTTGGGCTCTAGAACACTTGAAAGTTTAGGCTAATGCCTTGATGGTAGTCCTAAAACTAACTGAATTATGTGAATGTGGAATTTAGCTGACTTGCTCTATACTTAGTATAGTAGTATCATGCTGGAAAAAAATAAAAAAAATTACATATAAGTCTCATGGAGCAGACTTATACATATATAAGCCCTTCAAAATTTAAAAATCACAACTAGGTCCCTTGAGATCTGATTATAATTTAAAATTGGGGTAAAAAAGATAATAATGCTATAAGTAAACATGTATACGTTACATAAGTAAAATAATTTACGATCACTTTATTAGTAATTTATAACAACAACTTCAATTATTTACAATCATAATTTCATATATACAATAATTAAAATGATCAATTTAACTATTGAATATATAAACTTACAGCTATAAAAAGTTAAAATTATAATTGTAAATTATTGATGAAATAGTTTTAAACAATTGATGTTAAACTTTATTAGTAACATATGATTATTTAACTATTGAATATATGAAATTACAATTATAAAAAGTTAAAATTATAATTGTAAATTGATGATGAAATTGTTGTAAGTTAATTATTTGATTAAAGTAATATATGTTGAATAGGAGTATTATTATCTTTATGGCCTAATTCAAATTATACTCAGTTTTCAAGGAACTTGGCTATGGTTTCTAAATTTTATGGGATTTATTTTAAATAAGTTTACTCTATTAGGGCCTATACGTAATTTTTTTCAAAAAAATGGGTCAAATAGAAAATTAGTCTCTAAATTATATGTTCAGAAGCGCTTGAGACCCTAAACTCATTTTTTATATAATATTTCCTTTCAAGTTTTAAATTGATGCAATATGGCCCCTATTGTTAACAAAATTAACTTTGATAATTAGTTAAATAAAACATAATAGAAAATGACATCAAAAATTATAAAAAATAACCAAAACAATTACAACAAAGAATTCTAAATTTATAAACAAGGACCCAAAAAATTACAGAAGACGATAAAAAAAATTTTGTGAGTTTTGAAGTTTTTTTATCATTTTCTATTCAACTAATGGTTAAAATTAACTTTTATTAATAATAGGATTAGATTTTACTGTTTTCAAAAGTTAAATAAGAATATTGTACCTAAAACAAGTTAAGCTGTTAAATGTTCTTGGACCTATTGCTTATGAATATATATTTATTTATATTTAATATATATATATATATATATATAAGAGTTAAGATTTGAATTTTCAACCACTCGTTTAAATAATTAAAGTTCCAGCCATTCGTTCTAACCTTAGTTGATTTGTTGTACGGATATCATTATTTATTTCAGAACATGGATTTTTTTTGTTGTTTCCAAAATAGGAAATTTTCTATTTAAAAATTGAGAATAGTTAGAATTAAGCAATGCACATGGAGTTTAAGATAAAATATTGTTATTCTTTCGTGGTGGCAGACAATAAATGTTAAAAATACAAAAACGAAAGTGATTGTAAACTACCACGAACTTTGCTTTTTCCCATTTGTCATGTGAAATTCTCACTGTGGGATCAGCACCTCCGTTTAAATTTTACAAAATTTAATTAAATAATAAAAATTGGAATTTTACCACAATTTCTTCTTTTTTTCAATGACTAAATAAACGAGGAACTGAAATATTATTCAAAGAATGTAAAAATGAGGGGTATTTCAGTAAAAAAAACTAGCAAGCGAAGCCTGAAATAGTAAAAATGGTCCAAAGTGACGCTGCGCGGGTTCCGTCTAGAGAGAAAGGGTATTTTCGTAAATTGAATAATGTGACTGACGCTGCATCAGAGAAAATTTTAAATTTTAGATCAACGATAACAAACGAAGGTACTGGTTAGATTTTGACGCATAACGCTCCATTTTTTTGGACTATATGACAACTGTGACATCCAATATCCAATAATATCATATAAATAATAAATCATTTCTTCCAAAGATGATCTCACGTCTTCTTAATCAACGTAATTCTAATTTGAGGAAAGAAAATTTATTTTATATGTATCTAAATTTTTTTTATTAAAAAATAAAATATTTTTAATTAAATTTTATTCTCAATAAAATAGTTACTTATTTTTAAATTAACGTTATTTTTTATATTTACTTTTATTAAATACTCTATAATAATATAAATCATTATTATTAGGGTACTTTTAAAAAAACAATAATTACAGCTCA